GAGGTTGCTCAGCGTCTCCGAGGTGTCTTGGCAGGTGAGTTGCGGGACAGGAGGATTCAGGGAGGGCTGAGGAGTAGACGATAGGAGAGAAACATCTCCACAGAAAAGGAACTGGCACTCTAAATGTTTAGGTCAAGCTGACCTCCTGTCTTGGTTAGTATCACCAGTGCAAGGACCTCTGCTTCTAAGTCGAGACCCTGCACGATACTGCCACGCCTTCTGGGGAGACCCAGATTCCCCCAACTACCATAAGTGAGTCTATCACTGAGACTGTTTATTATGCCTCTTGGAGAAATGCCTGGAGGATGCTGCTGCCGCTCACCTACAGATATTCATTCTTGGCAGGTGTAGCCTCTTGAACACAGGATACAAAGGAGAAAGTTGCCTGGGGGCAAAGGTGAGAGCAACTTCTCAGACTTGGGGGGACTAAGTATCTGTAGCCTGTCTAGAGGTCCAAGGCCATCAGCATCAGATGTGCTTCTCAACTATGCAGATTCCTGAAATCTGGCAATTTATTAAATCAGCGATTAGAAAGGGAGTGGTGACAGGAATCCTTATTCTACACAGTTGCTTAAGGCCGACCAAAGACAGACTTGGTGCCCACCTCCAGTTCTCCATTTTGCTACTGTCCAATTTCCTAGCCCATCGACTAAACTTGGTGACATACCTCACTCCCTGACAGATCCCTGATAGCCATCTCCGCGGCTATGCATTGTGGCCAGAGCAGGGCCCCCCACAAATGGTCCAGCCAGATGGACCTGGGGTCCAAAACACTGATTTTCTCCTGTACGTGCGGGTTGCCCACACTTCCAAATGTCACCAAGAGGTAAGGTTCAAATCCAATGCCTTTTCTCACTCTGCCTCTCTTGTGCTTAATATCATGGGAAGAGTCAGGAAGCTCCGAAGTTTTCATGAAGTTATATAGGGTAACCTGGGGAATGCTAATGAAGTCTGGGGGAGTGACCCCTTCCAGTTATCCAAAGACCAGCCCCACTGAGTTCCCTGGTTTTCCCTTTTGAAGACTACTTCTGTGTGATGCCTCTCTCCTTTCCACCCCTCACCTCGTCCTGGCCCATCCACAGCCCTCTGTCATCGCCTACGCTGCCTGCTGCCAGCTGGACTCAGATGACAGGCCCCTTGCCGGTGCCATTGTCTACTGTGCCCAACATCTCACCAGCGCCAGCCTCAGCCATGGTGACATCGTCATGGTGACTGCTGCACAGTAGGGAAAAGCAACAGGTTGGGGGGGACGGGCAGGTCACTCAACTTCACGCGAAGTGGAAGAACCTAAGGGTGGATGAGACAAGGTGCCTCGAGCTCTATAAGAGCCACCGGGAGGGCGCGAAGCTGTAGAGCGGTCAGCTGATCCTGCAGCACACCCAGCGCCCTCACCCTGCAGGCTTGTCCCTAGGTCACACTCCATGAATTGCTGCACGCCCTGGGTTTCTCTGGACAGCTCTTCAGGAAGTGGAGAGATTGTCCCTCAGGACCGGGCGGTAAGTGAGCGAGGAAGAGGTCTTCCCACCCTGCCAACCCAGGTGGGGCCACGACTATCTCATGAACGCCACCCTTCCAATTTTCCCTCATCCTCCCTATATTTTCTTTTCCATCTATTACCTTCTCCCCCTACTGTTCTCAGTAAGAGAGGACTGTTCTGTCAGGCAACAAGTGACAAGGCAAGACCAGTGGGGACAGCTGCTTCTCACCACACCAGCTGTTAGTCAGAGCCTGGCCAAACACTTGGGAGTGCTTGGGATTTCACCAGGTGTTCCCTTGGAAGAAGAGGTGAGAATGAGAACACCAGGGGGCCAGAGGGAAGGGAGTAGCCAGGTGGCAAATAGCTCTCTCCTCCAGTAGGGCTCTCTGCCTTCACACTGGGAAGCCCGACTTCTCCAGGGCTCTATAATGACTGCAACCTTTGATGGTGCCCGACGCACTCGACTGGACCCAATCACTCTTGCTGCCTTCCAAGACTCAGGCTGGTACCAAGTCAACCACAGTACTGCAGAGGAGCTATTGTGGGGCCAGGGTGAGAAATCAGGGAGAAAGTCAGCTCAGGGGAAGTGAGAGATCCAAGGGGTTGTCTGCTGCCAAGGGGTCTCTGGCGCTGTAAGCATACCTGGCACCAAGGAATGTTTGGAGCTTCATTGTTTCTTAGGGCGCTTTCTCCTCTCTCTCAAGCAGGATCTGGCCCAGAATTTGGCCTGGTGACCACATGTGGGGCTGGCTCCTCAGATTTCTTCTGCACTGGCAGGTGCGTTGAGTGCATAGGTAGGGGGTGGAGGGGAAAGGGGGTTTGCAGCTGTCAGGGAGCCTGGTGTCACTCTACCATCCCTTCCATACAGTGGGCTGGGTTGCCACTACCTGCACCTGGACAAGGGACGCTGCTCCTCAGACCCCATGCTGGAGGGCTGCCGCATGTACAAGCCCCTGGCCAACAGGGTGAGCAGACTAAAACACAAAGAAGGCAAGTGAGTCTGAGGAGACAGCCTGAGGCATACAAACACTATAGTACCTTCTGTCCTGCCCTTCAGAGTGAGTGCTGGAAGAAAGAAAATGGATTTCCACCTGGGGCAGAAAATCCCTACGGGGAGATTTACCATCCTCAGAGTCGTTGCTTCTTTGCCAACCTTACTTCACAACTGCTCCCTGGGGAAGAGATCAGGCATCACTCTCAGACCCCACACCTGAAGGAAGTGGCGCTCACAGGCCGATGCTACTTGCATCAGTGCACAGAGAGGGGCAAATACAAGGTGCAGGTGGCGGGATCACCCTGGGTCCCCTGCCTTCCAGGAGAGGCTATTCAGGTGGGTATCTTCCGTGGAAGAGCTGCAGTACATGGGAGTTTGTAAATACACAGAAGGGAGAACTAGCCAAGTTGTTCTGATGCTCATTCATTTTCCATTAAGTACCCGCTGAATCCATGACTCAGATGTTGATCGTACATTTTCTTTAGGAGTGCCTGCTCAAGCAACCGGGCCTAGACTGTACTCACTGTATTTCCCTGCAGATACCTGGGTACCATGGTCTTCTCATCTGTCCCTGGGGTCGGCTGTGTCAGGCTAATGAAGATATGGATGCTGTTACTTCTCCACTTGTGACTCTTTCAACCAGAGACCTGTTATTCCAGCTTTCCATACGATTACGCGGACCCCCAAGTCACTACCTGGGGAAGGAAGAGCGAGAAGAGCTGACAGAAATAGTACTACAGGCTCTGGTGAACAGAGGGGCCAGCAGGTAAAGGGACAGTTGAGGCGGAGGATTTACCCAATGGTCAAGGAGAATCTTTTAAGACCTTTGTACCATGACTGTTCCTCTGTAGACTTGGTTTGTCCTGCTCCTAAGCCTGCACTTTCCATGAGATATACTCTTCCTGGTACTATGCCTCCATTAAGAGATGTAAATGTCTATTCAGGTGCTACTTACACAGTCCTTCCATTACCACTAGTCTGGTTTTCACTATACAAGTGTGGAAGTCCCCTGGCTGCCAAGGGCCTTCAGCTGATGTGCTGCACAGGTCCCTGACCCTGACTCTCCAGAAGCGGCGCCTGGAAGTATATTACGGAGGAGTCCAATTTACTGCAGAATACAACAAGTAAGATAACATTTCTAATAGTTTTCTTTTGAATTCGAGTCCAGCACTTCTCACATACACTACCCAAGTCAGTACACATGGCATATGTGTTCTAGGGGACACTTCTTCACACATGTATACACAAATAATGAGGATCTGCTTCCTTTTTTTTTTAAAATTAAAAATTTGTTTATGCATACAAGAACTGGGGTGTAAGCCAGAGGTGCAGGTGGGTGAGAGGATTCACCAGAGTGGAGAGCAGAACAAGCTGAAATACACTGCTCAGGGGAGCAGCAGGTTCAAACAGAAGAGGTCTGCTGCATCATGTGGGTGACCTCCCTGGGCTGGCCCAAGGATCGGGGGTGAATTCACGGTGTAGTTTGACAGTGTTTTGTCTGCAACCCCTGCGCCACAAGGGAGGCCCCTGCTTCCTTCCTTAAATATTACCCAAGCACTTTTTCTACTTATTTAAATGCCATAGTTTTGACTCTTTCCTAAAGCCACTCCCCTCACTGCCAAGCTTCCAACAATTAAGCCAAAGACTTGAATGGTGACTTTATCCCTACTTTGGGTTCTATATTCTGACTGACTTCCTGTTTTAGCTTACTGAATGGATGAAGGAGGGCTTCACAAATTTTAGCTTGTAATAAAGCTCTTCACCTCTTGGACTTCCTTAGTGACCTGGGTTTAAATCTCTAAAATATCACTGCTGCTACAGCCCAAGTTCAATCCCCAGCCCAGGAGCTGACCCACATGGCACAGCCAACCTGTCTCTACTATTACCCTCAGCAGCACATTTCAGTAAATTTGCCTGTTCTGCTCCCCACTCTGTCTCTGGTGAATCCTCTCACCTGCCCCATTACTTCTGGCCTACACTCCAGTTCCTCTACACAAAAATACATATAGGTAAGTATCAATAAAGATAAATATCAGTATCTTGACCAACCATTACAAAAATAAAGTACCTTACTTCTAAACTTGTAAGTATTCCAAGCCAAATATTACCTCTTATTTCCTAGGTCGCTGGTTACTTTGGACCACAATTTTTCCATGACCCATCTAGGTCTATCTGTGGCACTCTGCCTAATGCTACTTATCCTGGGAAGTGCACTGGGAACTGTGGCCTATCACAAACGAGCTGGTCTTCAGGTTGGACCATCTACCCCTTACCCCTCACCAGAGTCCCAATGCACACTGCACCCAGCTGGAGATGTAAGGGCAGTGTAATGGGACCCAGAGCATGAAGGCGGGATAGTGGATCTATTTCTTCGAAGACAGTTGGATGAAAGGCTGATCTACCGTCTACACTTAAGTTCTATTTTTCTCAGAATGCCCTTTCTCTGTATCAAAACTTAATGCTGTATCAGCTTTGCAATAAAAGAGATTTAAGGTTCTGAAGATTTATTATTTTGATAAAAAAAAACCAAACCTTTACAAGAGCTTGTTTATATTGTCAGGAAGCATTACAGAATAGAAATAACTGCTGCCAGCACCAAAAATATCACATGGCTTTAGAAAATCACTTTCTTTGGGTTCAAACAAACATCAGTATGGAGGAAAGGTTAGTTATCTTCCTCTCCTGAGTTTCCATAATTTTACCAACCCATCATTAGAAAAGCCAGTGGTTGGGATGTCACATAATTATGCTAGACTCTGTAAGGGTGGTGAAATCAGTCACCTGAACCCAGCTAACCCATAAAAACACAGTCTTTTATTATTCTCCTATCTTGTTTTGGGAGTAGGGCAAGCTTTGCTTTAAACTCCTTGGGCCAGCAATCAGCTTGAGCTATAATGTGTTAATTCCTTTCAATTATAGTTGCAAAAGAAGTCATTAAATCATTAAGGGTTTGACATTTCCTGGAAAGCAAGAGAGGAGGAAGACTCTTGATCTGAATTTGCTGAGCTGGAAAACATTTACACTAGGAGTTCAGTTCATATGCTGTTAACGTTGAAATACCAGGTCAACAGTGCTCAGCAAGTTCAGTCAGCTGATTGGGATACCAGCCCCGCACCTTTAATTGACACATTTGAAGTTTGAGCTGTAGAGTATTGTGGCTTTTGATCCTCAGCTTTGGTCATCTTCTTTCGCTTTATGTCTATCAGTCCTTACCAGCTGTAGCAGCAACTGCTTGGTAAAACTTTGCCACGAAGTCAGGCTCACTGACCTCTAGCTGCCTGACAAATTCATTGCGCTCCTGTTCAGCCCAACCTCGAAACCACTGATCCCAAAGACGCAGCTGGCACTCAAAGATACAAGGTGGTCGGTATGCTCCAGACACACTAAGCTGCTCCAGACCTTCCAGTAGTGGCTGTAACTTTCCTGGAACAGCCTTAGCTACCAAGTCTTGTAGGAAACGTTCACGCTGGGGCCCTGACCAACTGGCAAACCAGTGGAGAATACACTTCATCTCCTGGGAAGTTATGTAAGACATCGGGGGAGGGGAAGAGTTAGTGACACTGTGTGGCACTGAGGGTAAGGGAGAAGGGAGAGATGGTGGCATCCAAGAGGAAGATGATTCCAATGGCATCCTGAAACATAAAAGCACTGTTATGTACGTTCTAGACAGAGTGACCAAAACACAACTTACTACACTCAGTCACCATCTACGCAGGAAATTATTTTTCACCAATTTGATTTACAGGAAAACAGGGCCCTTCATTTAATGTCATGAATAACTTCATTTTATATTTGCCATCCTGCCTATTTTTCAAACTCACTACCTTCCTAGCTACTGCTTCCTCCATCATTTTCATAAAGATTCTGAAAATAACCAACATACTCCATGCTCATTTTCACCCTCCTACTTCTATAGTCCAGGTTGGGTAAAGAACAAAACAAAAACTAATGTTGGTCCAAATCATCTTCCCTGACATGAACTATGGTATATGTTAAAATCTAGCACATGCAGCTATTCCACAGCTATCAACAATAGGAAAAGAAAAATAAATAACATCATGATTAAAGAATTTTCTTTGCAAAGTGCATAATGTCTCTGAAATATGCCAGGTACTTCACAACATGCCTTACATTTCCTATAAGACACTAGGAAAAAATTAAAGAGCAGAGTAAGTGAGGGCACTTGGTCCAAAATAACGTAAGTCAGTAGTCGTGCTATTCTATCTAAATAGTTTGGTGGCTTAGGCACCTAAAAAGTGTCAGTAAAACAGATGTGTGATAATTTACATCTTCGAACAACTTCCCTTAATATCTAACAAGTATTTATTGATGACTGCCATTGATTCCCATCATAAATGCAACTGGGTCAATTAACTTGAATAGCTCGAATCTCTAGCAATGAAAAATTTAAACTATTTGTCTATGACCTACTTTACTGTTTGTGTTCCTTCTGCTGTTAAGCTGGAGTCTCTGCAGTGACAAAGAAAGGGAACCCATAAGCAATTAACATCTGTTCAGCACCCAAACAGTCTCGGGAAGTTTTTTTGTCCTCACAGTGATGTACATAAAGCAATTCCTTCTAGGGGAACTTTATTCTCTTATTCAGAGAAAGGGAGATCTATTCCTGCGCCCTGCGACATGGTCTCCACGGTAAACTCAAGTTTGGTGACCATAAGTTAGTTCAGACTAGGTCCAAAGACAAGGTGTTGCTACTTGCCCACTTTGAAGGATACGGAGCCTGGCATTCCAAGGTTCCAAACCACACCACAGCCCCAGCTGGGAGTGGTGGGGATTTAGAGGATGGGAGGCGGCAGCTGTTTCCGTCAGGGAGCGGGAGGCTCGTCCTACTGGATTAACCCGCAGGCACCGAGCCTGACCCGGCCAGGGACGGACTTCTACCTCGCTTACCTCCCCTTGTGTCTCACAGGGTACCCGGAGACCGTCTCAAGAGGACTTAGATTCCAACTATCGCCGCGCTTCCATATTTCCTGAAAACCCTAAACATGGCCAGCCCGGCAGCCCACGCACTTCCGGCGCCGGACCAGCCCCAAACACCCAAGCGCCTCAGCGCCCCAACTCTAGGTCCGGAGAGAGCCGAATAACTCCGAAGGTGGTTATGCCAGAGTCGAGAGGCTCCGAGTAGATTCGATTCAAAGCCTCGGTGAGACGAAGATAACCGAGCTCTGAAAGCAAGGGAAGGGAGGGGCCGCGGCTGAGAGAATGGAAAGAACCGATTGGTGCCGATGTGTAGACGGAAATACCCGAGCAGTTCCGTAGGAACCCGGGGAGTTTTAAGTGGTAATCGAGGGCTGACTACGGCAGTGGGCGGGGTCAATTCGGTACGTTCGAAGGGCGTTGGCGGAAATTACCGAAGATGCCCGAAGCCGTCGGGACGGACCCGAGTACCTCACGCAAGATGGCGGAGCTGGAGGAGGTGACTCTGGACGGGAAGCCTCTTCAGGCGCTCCGGGTGACCGACCTGAAGGCCGCATTGGAGCAGCGAGGCCTAGCCAAGAGCGGGCAGAAGAGTGCCCTGGTCAAGCGGCTCAAAGGGGTGAGGAGACGGCGTTGCCGGGGTTTCGGAGGGGAGCGGACCCGGTAGAGACGAGTCTGCCGCGGCGCAGGCGCAGTGTCGGGGCTCGGCGCGAGCTCGCTCAGGCCGCCAGCGCGAGCCTCGGGAACCGCGCGCACGGTGGTTGGTGAGGCTCGCGCTGGAATAGAGATAGCGCCGGTTCCCGCCTTAACGGCAGCGGCGCGAGCCCAAAATGGGAGGGTGCGCGCTACTCTCCCGGAGTGTCTTAAGCTCCTTCCTTCTTCCCCCACCCCCTCCTTGTTTGTGTCTGTGGTTTCGGCGCATGCGCCGCTAAAGGAGTTAAATCCCACTACAACCACCGGCGTAGCTGGCCTGAGGGGGGGCGAGTTGGGCAGGGTCGGAGTTAAGGGTATAGTTGGGCTGAGGGTTGGTGGGGTTGGTATCCGTATTCGGAAGAATAAGGTTGGGGTAGGGTAAAAAAAAAAATGTCTGCTTGATTAGCTTGGGACACGAAATGAAGAGAAGCCTTGATCTGAAGGGACTTGGTTAGAAAGGGGTGTATAATTTGTAGGACATTCTAAAGAAATTTGGGTGTGAGAAATTGGTGGATATTGATGTGAGCGGTGAAGTAGGTTGGTGTGTGTTGGGAGTTTGGAATCTGTTTGAGGACATTAGGGTGGGATTGTCATGAGGTAGTAATAGATTTTGCGCATAGGTTTGCTGTAAACTGAGAGGGGCAGATTAGGATGTTTTGGTCTGGGTTAGTTAGAATACGAGGTGAGGTAGTTCAGATTAAGGCTGGCTTGGCCGAAGGGTTAAATTGGCAGACCGTTGCTTATACAGAAGCTGGCCGTTTCCTTTCCCTCCCTCCCTCTCTGGGGATTGGGTCAGACCACAGTTTTCCAGTATGGTCATTTTGTTCTGTAGACTTCTCTTGAATTTTTATAAATCTTGGTTAATCTTGGTGCCACGCTGTTAACTATACACTATACACATTCACTCAGGTAGACCTAATTCGTGGTAACTGACCAAATGAATCAGGCAGGCCCAAAAGCAGAAAACTCATGTTGGTTTTATGTATTTGAAACCGATTTGAATATTTGTAGTGATTTTACCTGCGGGGCCGAATTTAGAAAGGACACTAGCCAGAAGTGCAGAAGAGAAGATTGTAGTACTGGTTCTGTCACTGTCACTGATTTGTTTAGGTAGCCAGGTCACTGATTTTCTCTGTGCATTTGGAAATGGTAGCTATGGCTACCTTTAAGGGTCTTCTGAAGATGAATGAGAAAAGTATTAGTAAAGGGTCTTATAAGTCTCTGGAAAAGGTCTACTGTTTAAGTGTGTATGGATTAGTGGTTGAATTTAATGAACTGATTAGGGTGTTTTATTTTTCCCTTGGTGTCTGACTTTTGCCCTTCTCTATAACAGGCTCTAATGCTAGAAAATTTACAGAAACACTCAACACCCCATGCTGCATTCCAGCCAAATTCCCAGGTAAGCAAGAAGGTTCTTTAGGTGAGGTGGGCTTTTGTGATGTACTGACATACCAAAGGATGTGGTACTATATATTTGGTGCCTAATTTCTCACCAGTATTCCTAAGTTCCCTAATTTGGAAGTTTTCTCATACCATGACAATTGAATTCTAATCAAGCCTACTAGTAAAAAACAGAATCAGAGAAGTTATTAATTTCTAATACTTGAAATGGTGTGTGCAAAAAGAAGTGATTAGCTGATTAAGTGTAGTGCAGACACATGAAGTCTTATATTTTCATCTATTTAGAATGTAGGTATGAAGTGACAGTAGGACAGTCTACTTGCTGATCAGGTAGGAAAATACTTGCTGATCAGGAAGAACTCTTGTATTGACATAGGTTTTCTAAGAATTCAGTCCTTAGGAAATCCACCATTACAAGTGTTAACTACTAACTATGCAGTTTCTTTTAAACAGTATTACCTCTCTTATTTTGAGTAAAACACTTAACCGTTGGAGGACTTGTTTTCCCTAATTTTCTTCTGTGTAGTATGAAACAGGTTGGAATTGATCCATAGTTTTATAACTGCTCTGGGGTTTTGTGAAGTTGTTTTGAGGGACTTCTTTAAGGAAGATACCTTTTTTGAAAGTGAGTAGGCATTCACCTTCCCCTCTTAAACTAGATTGGATCTACTTTCATCTGTGTGTATATTGAGTTTATGTATTAGATATTTTTAGAAGAAATAATTCCTATTTTCCCCCCAAACACTTAAAGTCTTAGACTGTGTTAAGATTCTTTTAAGCATTAAAATTCCCTCATTATAGTGTGTCAGACTCTTAAAGGAAAAATCCAGGTCTTTGTTAGTGTGTGCAGCTCCTCTCTAGATGAAGTCCCAAGATACTGTGGAAAAACAAAAGAACCTTCCTACTCCCTTGTTATCATCTCATTATGCTGTAAGGATCTGGCCAGCTTACAGAGATTTAGTTAAGAACTTTTAACAAGTATAAGAAATGAAATAAGTTAGTAAGTTTAGGATTATAGTCCTTTTACTCATTCTTTGAAACTGCTTTTGTTAACAAATACATATTTTTGCTCTATCTGTTAAGTAGCAAGAGATTAATTTCTTCTTTAGGTGAAAATAAACATTTACCACACTTAGGAAAGATAACTAATGGCGTGGAAACTGTTCAGTTTTTTTCCTATTTCTGGAGTTCTAATAAAATTACTAAATCAAAGGTTCTTAGGAGGACTTGTGAAGAGAAAGCCAAAGGGCGGAAGAGTGACATGGGAATCTACTGCAGAAAAAGGGAAAATTAAGCTCCAGGATTTTAAATATTGTTACAAAGGATTTCTTCTTATCCAGAGAAAATGGCGTGACAACTCTGTCTAAATGCTGACTAAATATCCCTCTTCTTAGTCTCTTGACATCATACTTTTAAATACTGTACTTAAAATTTGGGGCTGTGTGACAGTGTTTCCTGCCTAAGAAGAGATTGATCTTTTGTGTCAATAAAAGATGAGCTAGTCAATATGAACTAGTAATTTCTCAGTTTTGGTATTACTAGGACATATTAGGAAAAATGTTTAATTTGGATTATTTAAAAACAGGTTAAAAGGCATAATTTTGATTTCAAGTTATTTGTGCATCACCCTTTTGGAACTAAATATTTAAATAAAAAGTTGTGTGCTGCCTTTTGTGTATCATTGGAGTAGCTTAGGAAAGAGCCTTCATCTTTCTTGGACTCAAACACAAGGGGTAGATCTTTGCTCCATGGAATTTTCTTCCTTGCATTTTCCTGCTTGGCTTTCCTAGACTTTCATTTTCCATGTTCTCTTTACAGATTGGCGAGGAAATGAGCCAGAATAGTTTCATAAAGCAGTATCTGGAAAAGCAGCAGGAACTACTTAGGCAGCGTCTGGAACGTGAAGCTCGAGAAGCTGCAGAACTTGAAGGTAAGCCCAGACTGTCAGTTCTTAACAAGGAATTCTTCATTCTTATTCCTGTTGTTGAGTAGATGTGCCAGTTTAACAAGGCAATTTCAGGAATAAGTCAAGCTGAAAATACTGCTTATTTTTGTTGATAGTTTATGGAGCCAAGTGGGTTACTCTTTACCCTTTGTCAAGGGAAGAAGACACTTACATTGACTATCTTAGAGGAGAAATCCTGCCAACAGGAAGAGTTAGAAGTAAACCAGTCGATCCTTAAATGAGGTAGACCTTAATCTTAGGGAGTTTTTCTCTGTGTACAGTGCTCTTTTTTGGTATATACTCTGTATCTGTGACTTTGCCTGACCTCCTTCACTCCTCTACATATTCCCACATGCTGAGTCCTTCACTCCCTCCCTGCCCCGACCCAATCTGTACTTTGCAGAAGCTTCAGCTGAGTCGGAGGACGAGATGATCCATCCTGAGGGAGTGGCTTCCCTGCTGCCTCCTGACTTTCAGAGCAGCCTGGAGAGAGCAGAGCTGGAGCTCAGCAGACAATCGCCCAGTACGTATCTCCCTCCCCACTGCGCTATTTTGTCAATACTGCGTAGTTGGTGGGGGGAGGTAGTTAGCCTCCTTTCATGCTAAGCCTCCATAAAGTCCCAAGAAAATTCTGTGACATCGATATTTGACATGTTTTTCATGGAAATGATGTCCTTTTGAAACTTGCTATCACCTCGATGTTGTGTTAACCTCTCAGAATGTTCTATAAAACGTGATTTTCCTTCTCATCTGTACTTCTTTAACAACCTCTTATACCTCTGAACTTAGCAACAGTCACAACTTTTTTCCATCTTTTTGCTATTATATATATTGTGTGCTGCACAACCAGTCACCCTCCCTAAATGGACATCAGCTGCAATTTATTAATCCATTCAACAAATTTGTATTGAGTGCCTGTTGTAGTCTAGGCATCTGCTAGGCACCAGGAATAAAGTAGAGAAAAAGACAAGTCTCTTGCCTAAATAAATTTAATAGTCTAATGAGATTAGCATTAAAAACACTGTTACATAAAGAATTACAGTTGTGCTTTGAGAGGCAATGCAGAGTATTTTGTGAGCATATTACCAAGGCCTTTAACCAGTGTGTGTGGTTGGTTCTGGCAAAATTGATTTTTTTAATTCTATAAAAAGTACTAAGCACCTAGTTTTGCATAGCATCTCAAGCAAAAGTCTGTAAGTGCAGCCTTTGTCTTCTAAGAAGCACCTGCTCAAGACAGTATACTCTAGGGAGAATACTGTATGTAAGACTCATGAGGATAGTGGCTAGATTATATTAAGCCAATGTGGGGAGTGTTTTGAATCATTTTTAATTGGTCATGGGGTGGATGATCATTCTATATCTAATACTTTCAGAATGTATGGAAGTTGGTATTCTCATTTATAGAGAATTCTATCATGAAAATTGATTTTTAGAAGATATTAATGACAGGAGAGAAATAAGTCCTTTCAGAAACCTCTTTTCTCCTCAAATACAAAAATAGAATACGCTCAGTTGATTCATTTTGTTCTTAACACATTTTTCCTTTTATAAAGTCAAGAGGAAAGGGTTGAAAGATCTTTTATAAATAAGATACTAGTTTCTAAAATGAAAATCAGTCAAAAATATTTATTGAATTCCTACTGTATACATACCTCTGTGCTAGAGTGTATGGTGAGTTACCACACTGTAAAATCTATTAGGGGAAACAAAGATAACTGCATGTAAGCTAACAGATAATGGTGTGTTTTTAAATGACGAGTAAATAGTACTGACACACGCACCATAGAAATTCAGAAGACCCAAAGATCTCTGAGGACTAGAAAGATTAGAGAGAGCCTTAGGAAGGATACATAGGATTCGAACCAAGCTTTAAGAATGGGGGAAGGATTTGAATTGGCACAGAAGATACAAAGGATTTTTTTTTTTAAGACTATTTATGCATACAGAAATGGAGTACAGGCCAGAGGAGCAGGGGTGGTGAGAGGATTTACCAGAGACACAGGGAAGCAGGACAGGCAGATGGTCAAAGTACACCGCTGAGGGGAGCAGGGGGCAAGACAGAAGTCTGCCATGCCATGCGGATCACCTGCAGGGCGGGGGATCGAACTTGCACTAAAGCAGCCATAGCTTGGCTTAGCTTTGCAGTGCAGTGCTCCAACCCACTGCACCACCAGGGAGGGCCCACAAGAGGCTATTTTTAGGGAGGAACAGAGGCATAGAGATAGAAATGAATATAGTAATTTTAAAGGACAGTAAACAAATAGCCAGAAAAAGTATTCTTTAATTTTGAAGAATAAGAAATTAAAAGGTATACATATTTGATTAATATTACAGGGTGCTTTGAATATCAAACCAATGAGTATGAGCTTTTTTTCCTAAACGTAATAAACTATTGAAAACTTTCAATAGGACCAGGATTTGATACCAAGCTCTCTTAAAAAAAAAAAAAAAAAGGCCTTGCTTAGTTGAAATTGTAATTTGAGGCCCTCCCAGGTGACACAGTGGGTTAAAGCACAACACTAAGAAGCTAAAGCCACTTCAGCATGAGTTTGATCCCACCCACCCCAGAGGTGACCCACATGGCGCAGCAGATCTCCTGGCCTGCCCACTGCTCCCCTCAGCAGTGTACTTTGTTGATCTGCCTGTTCTGCTCCCCACTCTGTCTCTGATGAAACCTCTTGTCGCCCTTGCACCTCTGTCCTGAACCCCAGTTCTGTATGCACAAATATATCTTAAAAAAAAAAAACATAATTTGAAATGAAAATGAGGACTGTATCCCATAATAGAAATAAAGTTTCAAAAGCAAATAAATTTGTGGCACACATAACGTAGTAGATACAGATTTCAAATTACAGTGCTGTAACTAGAAGACTATATAATGGTAAATATCAGTGTTCACTTTTTTTTTTTTTTTTATTAAAAAGTTTATTTTTACATCATTTTTCACATTTCTTTTTTCATCTCAATTGTAATCCCCACGGGCTTCCCATCACCAAATCACCCCTGTGCCACCACCATAGTCCCGTGCATTTCCCTCCCTTCCCCCCCCCCCCGTTTTTGATCCCATTCCCCACTCCACCCCCACAGAATGTCTCTGGTCTATGGTTGTTCATTATTTTTGTTATTTTCTCGCCTGGTCCATTATACTCCTGCTATGAGTGAAACCATCCGGTATTTTTCTTTCTCTTTCTGGCTTATAGTGTTCACTTTTTTAAACTAAAAAAATTTACCATTAGGGTAGCCTGTCTTCTTCTGTGCTTAATGTCATTACCATGATATTGGCCCATGACTGTAATCTATGGAGGAAAAACAGGTAAAAGAAAAGGAAAGAGATGGAAAAATAACAGTATGGCCAACAACTACCAAACAGTCTTTACGATTTTTGATCTTGTCTAGAATTTGAATTTCATTGAAGATGTACAAGATTTTTTAAAAAGGATTTATTTATACATGCATGCAAGAACTGGGGTATAGGCCAGAGGTGCAGGGCAGGGTTTGGGGGTGGGAGTGACAGGATTCACCAGAGTGGGGAGCAGAACAAGCAGATTGACTGAAATACACTGCTGAAGGGAACATTAGGCAAGACAGGAAAGGTCTGCCACACCATATGGTCACCTCCCTGGCCGGGAATCGAACTAGTGCTGCAGTGGCTGTGGATCACTTCATAGTGTTGTGCTTTAACCTGTTTCGCCACCAAGGGAGGGCCTTGAAGATGTACAAAATTTTAGCAGGGTCCTAAATGGGAATGGTGGCTATAAGTTCTAGCAGTCCTTAGTTGAGTCAGGTAACATCTAGGGTTTACCCAGAATATAGATGCTTTCAGATGTACGTTGTCAGCCTACCATAGGCAGTTTATTCATTAGCTTTGGATGTTTTGGGATTCTCTAATAAAATTTTAATAAAACTAAGATTTAATATATCTTCCCAACCATGAAGATTTGTTTTTAATACTGCTATTTTTAGAATATGGAGTACCAAAGAATCTCAGGGAATGTGTCTTAGAACTCATTTTGATTTTTTAAAAATTTTTACTTATGGCCCTCCCTGGTGGTGCAGCGGGTTAAAGCACTGCACTAAGAAGCTTAGGCACTTCTGCCTAAGTAATTCAGTGGCTGAGGTAGCTTCATAGTGCTGAAACTCAACCCTTTGTATCACAAGGGAGGCCCTGGAAGTCTCATTTTAAAAAAGTCCCCTGGTGACTCTGTTAATTAGCTCAATTTATGAATGAATGGATGGATGAATAAGTTTTTCAGTATTTTACCAGGATTCTTAGCTTATATTTCTACAACCTCCCCCTTATGTTCCATAGACAAAAATCCCAAAAAGGAAGAGTTGATTTATAAAATCCTCCCTGGTTCTCACTGTCTTATCTTTCCACCACTTTCTTCAAATTTTTCTAAGGTGTTAGTATCTACTTTCCATAGTCAGAAGTTGTCTGATTCCTTTCTCTGGGTATACAGAGACCCTTACATGCCTTAGTTAATTGTTTTCTAATGCCCACTTTAGGGAAATTAGAAGGAAAAATATAAAAACATTTAAAAATGGTTATCTACAGTACTGATTCTCTAACAAAGGAATGACTCCAGAGGATCTGAGCTAGTTTTTGGCTTACAGACCATTAGTTCTCATTCCTATGTCTCATATAAATCTGATTGCTTATTCTCTTAATTCCTGCTGCTTTTTCATACCCAAGGACACCCAAGGCTTTGTTGTAATTTCTAATTAACTTACTTTGGTTCTGCAAATTAGGGATTAGTTTTACAGCAAAGAAACTACTCTCCTATTTGACCTTAAATGTATTCTTTACTTGAATAAATTCTACACTATGGAGCAGAGCAGCTGAGCAGCCATGTTTTCTCCTAGAAGCTTCTAGCTTTGGAATCTTGGAAATCTTGTATTTACCCTGACTTACTTTTATTTTTGGGACTTGTTCTTGAAATACATTTATCTATTACTATTTTGGATTCCACCCTTTGCTAAAGGGGCTTAACTTCTACACTGGTCGTATTAACATATAGCTTAAGATATGCATGTGGCCATGAGCTCATTATAGAAGCTGTTGTCTTTCCCCAAAGCTTGTCTTTATCACATCAGCTCCTTACCAGGATCCAGTAAGAGATTCTTCATATCTTCCTTCTATCTTACATGTGTATGGCTTTCTAGAGTCTTACTTCATTCCAGTATTTTTTTTTCTCAAAATAATCAGAACTTTCTAAGCAACCCTGCTCATTTTTCTCACATCTTTTTGATGACTTATTAAAGTGCTTCCAGAGTAGTGAGCCAAACATCCTATCACTACCTTTTTTTTTTTTTTTTAAAGATTTATTTATTTGTGCATACAGAATTGGGGTACAGGCCAGAGACTCAGGGGTTGCGAAAGACTTCACAAGAGACAGAACGGGAGCAGAACAGGCAGATTGACGAAGTACACTGCTGAGGGGAGCAGCGGGCGGGTCAGGAGAGGTCTGCCACGCCATGTGGATCTCCTCCGGGGCAGGCGGGAATCGAACTCATGCGGAAGTGGTTTCAGCTTCTTAGTGCTGTGCTTTAACCCGCTGCGCCACTAGGGAGGGCCTTATCACTACCTTTTTACTGAATCAAAATAACATGATCCAGTAGGATGGAATAATTTACAATAGATGAAGAAGCTATTTATATCTAACTCTAAAACTTTTTTTTCCCCCCCCAGTGGAAACCCAATCCTAATAATAGGCTTGGATATATATGTATATAATATATTATATGTTACATGTTATATATATATATAGAGAGAGAGGCTTGGAGATATATATATATGTGTGTGTATATATATATATCCCAAAAATATATATATATATTCTTAAGATTTATTTGTTTATACATATAAAACTGGGTACAGGCCAGAGATGCAGGGGTGGTGAGAGGATTCACCAGAGGCAGAGCAGAGAATAGAACAGACAGATCAATGAAGCACACTGCTGAGGGGAGCAGCAGGCAGGCCAGGAGAGGTCTTCTGCACCATGTGGGTCACCTCCCTGACCAGGGATGGGACTCAAGGTGAGATGGCTATGGGAGCTTCATTAATCCATTGTGCCACCAGGGAGGGACCCATCTAAAACTCTTAATTGACCTGTTTGACACATTTGACAAGTTTTGTATTTTATCTTTTTTCCTTAGGATCACAATTTATTCAGCATATATGTGCTTACTGATATACCACAAAGCATCTTTTGTAGGATTTTATGAGCCCATAACTTTTTTAAACTGAAAATAAAAAGAATGTTTGTTTTAGAGAACTTAGAGTGATGGTAGCAAATACTTAGATGGATAGTCATCAGTAGCCCCACAAACTAAAATAACCGTGATTGGTATTTCAGTGTATAATTTCCCTTCTTTGTATAAGCTTAAAAATCTGCAACATTGTTTCCTCTTTTAGCGTGGTTAACTTTTTTTAAATTCTTGAGCATCCTGATAATGATTTTCAAGACTTTTGAGAGAAGTTTTAGGTTCACAGCAAAGAGGGAGGTAAGATTTCCTACAAGCCCTATGCTACCACATATGTTTAGCCTCTCCCATTATCAACATCCCCCATCAGAATGGTACATTTCTTTTTTTTGTTTTGTTTAAAGATTTATTTATGCATACAGAGCTAGGGTACAGGCCAGAGGTGCAGGGGTGGTGAGAAGCTTCACCAGAGATAAGAGTGGGGAGCAGTGGGTTGAGACAGGAGCGGTCTGCTGCACCATGTGGGTCACCTTGATTGAGCTCAAGCTGAAGGAGCTGCTGCTAGCTTTATAATGCTGTGCTTTAACCCATTGTACCACCAGGGAGGGCCCAGAATGGTACATTTCTTACAATTGATGAACGTACACTGACTTAATCACCTACACTGACTTAATCACCTAAAGTTTATAGCCTGAGGATTCACTTTTTTTTTTTTTAATTTAAGACTTATTTTTATTTATTTATGCATACAAAAACTGGGGTACAGGCCAGTGATACAGTAGGTGAGAGGATTCATCAGAGACAGTGAACAGGCATATCTACTGAAATCCACTGCTGAGGGGAGCAGCAGATGGGACAGGAGAGGTCTGCCATGCCATATCATATCGGTCACCTCCTTGGTCAGGTGAAGGGGCTGTGGCTAGCTTCATAGTGTTGTGCTTTAACCTTTTGAGTCACTGGGAAGGGCCCTGTAAAGGAGGTTTACCTAAACTTCATGGAAAATATTTCCTTTAGGTTATACTCATTTTGTAATTTAACCTTCTCCAGTCATTTAATTATGACATTATTTGTTACGGCGGGCAACACCCGGGAGTGGTGGAACAGGCTACGTAATGCAGGATGCTGCTGACGAGCAAGATCCTGGCCTTTTTATTAATAAACAGTATTAGTCAAAAAGGGAATTAGAAAAGGAAAGGGAGGTGTAGGAGAGGCACAGTGGAACTGTATTTCTCATTTTGGTATTTGGGTCCAGCCCTGCGTCCCCAGTCAGGATTTCAATTGTATCAGTAAGGCTCCACTGATAGGCTTCTGGCGTCCTTTGTGATACATCAATCAGTGTTCAGTTCTGTGTTCTCGGTCATACCTCATGATGTATACGTCTGGAATAAATTTATGCATCAGTCGTCAGCATCCCTGGGCGTTCCTATCATACCTCTTGATGCACACCCTTCCCAGGGGGATCCAACTTTATGCTCTTAATTGATACAAAAGTCACCTGGTAGGTTGGGCTCTTATAACCTGGCAGTTCTGACCTTGCTTTGTTACAGAACTGTAGGCAATAAAATGGAGGTTGGATAGGACCTTAGGTTTAGAAGACCCACAATTAATACTGATTGTTATAGCTACCACATTATTTATTATTCTCCAATAGATTATTCTTCAGCTGTTTGCTAGAGTCTAGCCTGTCATTGTATATCCTAACCATATATACCCATAATGCAGGGCTGGCTTATTCACTAACCCAGATGTAAAATGGTAATATATTCAGAGATCCATTGATTTCCTCACTAGGAAAATTCTACAAAACATTTGCAATATTATAGTTCATTTTTTAAAAATTATAGAGCAAAGACTAGTTCATTTTAGATTGTTCAGACATAGAAATAAGAGAGGCAACCTTGAGTTAGAGCCAACACAATCTGCTTTGCAGCATTTAAGGATTATTAATGTATATAACAGTTTTTTTGTGAATCATTTAAATTTCTTGTAGTGCATTAAAATTGAAGCCATTCTATTTGAGTGAATATGTGGAATAGAATTATCTTTGGGTTGATCCATATCCTTGTCAATATTTGCATTCTCATCAGTATTACACTATGTAATATTTTCTACTCATTGGAAATTTGAAAATCTTTTGTTTTATACCCTCTTTTTGGTCAAGACATGGAGACCCAAATTATGTAAGTGATTTATGTGTCATGGAATGTGAATGAAATTTCCCCCAGTTTTATATGGAATTAAAGTTTGGAATCATCTAGATACATGGTTTTCAAGCTTTCTTTTAAGTAGAACTTACTTTGCTAAGGGAAAAAAAAATAATTTTGAACACCAATTAACAGGGTCCAGTTTTTAATCCCTGTTCTCTTGGTTTAAAATAATTTCTGGGAACTTTAAGGACTCAAAAACTATCATGTGAGTACTTAATTCAGAAGGTTATTTCGCAAACTGGCATATTAACCATAATATTTGATCCAAATTAGTATAGCATGGATAATCAAAGAAAACAACAATCATAGTGAAATCTTAAGCTTTAATTCAGAGTGATAAAACATTTTATATAAATAAGTGTGCTTTGTACATCTCTGCTTTGAAACTCTGGTTGTTTTCTACATTTTTTTGAGTTATTTGTAAATGAAAATGCATTGAGAATGTATACAAGTATTAATCACTAAGACACTGACCCTTAGGATGTTACATTCTTGTACATAGAAGCTAAGGAAATCAAATCAGGCAGGTGTTGACCAGCTCATCTTCTGTGATTGATTTGAATTTTACGAAACAACCTTGAATTATTCATGTCATGTGTCTGACTTGATTTTCTTTACTTTGACAGGAAAAAGTTCCTCTATTTCTGAAGAGAAGGGTGAATCTGACGAGGAAAAGCCAAGGAAAGGAGAACGACGATCATCTAGGGTTAGACAGGTAGGTAACTCAGACATCTGCTAATTACTTCCCCAAACTTTTTTGTAGTTTAGGTTTTTCTGTCGTTTTCTTTCTTTTTCTTGTTTAATTGAAACCTACTCTGGCCTTCAGATTTCTAAGTGAATATGTAAAAACTAAAACTTGATTGTAGAAGTTTGTAGGCAGGGCTGTGTTTCCAAAGCACCTTATTAAGAAACATATGATGTAATTGTTACAGAGCAGGGACAGGGGCACCCCTGGTCCCCCAAACCTGCCTACCCTAAGTAGGTTCTGCTATCCGCTGCATCAAGACAAGACATAAGAGCTTTAATGGAAAGGAACTTTAATGCAATGAATGTGCAATACAGAGTTTCTAAATCAAACATCCAAAAGGAATTGGCCCAAAGCAAGGCCTGTGAAAGCCCTCCAAATGGGGGGGAGTGGGTGGAATGACACAACACACAGAAGCAACAACAGTCTCAATCTTTATGAAAGCTCCTACTCAGTAGTGCAGTGGTGACAAACCATACCTTTCTGTTTTTTCCTTCATAACTAGAGACTCTTTGTCCTCAAAAACCTTAACTTTTCCAAACTTGCATTTTCCTGACATTATCAACCAAGCAAAAATTTTATTCAGTACAACCTTAGAAGCACCTTAAAACAACACATTAGAGTACAAATTAGTTACCACAAACCAAAAATTATCCCAGATTGTTTTCAAAATGTGTACCAGTTTTCATTACATTTTTTGTTTCTAATATTTCTTACCATCTGAACCAATTTTATAACACCTCAAGGCCAGGACAGTTAAGCACAAGGCAAGGAAATATAGACATACAACATTATAGACAGTTTTCTTAGTTATTCCACATGTAATATCTTATGTAACTGCAGTTTTTACTCCATAGGCTCAGGAAAATCTCAGATTAAAAAAAAAAAAAAGTGGAATGTTACTGACAAATCAAAAGTTTCAGTTGCTATCCTAGAGCTATCCTGTACAGCGGGTAAAGGTAAAAACAGTTAACTTTGAGCAAAAGCAGTCATCTTGTTGTTAGCCACTAAGCTTGCAATTTCTTGGGTTTCCTGGAACAGAACCTGAAAAACAAAACACAAAAAATCAGCAGTTAAACTTTCAATTAAAAAGGAATCATCTCCTTACTTCTGTTAGCCACTGTGGGACTTAAGCTGAAAGCGCAAAGTTAACATAACCAGGTACAGATTGCACCTCCCCACACAAGGGAGAAACAACAACACAGGTATGAAAATGTGATATAGTTGCGTCATACACTATGAAGTGTGCTTTCCACAACAGACCTTCCTCAGTAGGAAGCAGATTCTTAGAATCTTGTCTTACACCAGTAATCAGACAGATCTAGAATTCAAATGGCAAACATGAACCAAACAAATTATGTCAACAAAATTCACAGCAGCAAACACTTTTAGACTTAAGACAGTATTTTTTCTAATTTTTCTGATCCAGGCTTTGCAAAAATTCAAGTTATCCATGAATCCATTAAGGTTTTTACTGCTCAAGGCTTAGTGTTTCTTTGTATCCAAGCATACATCTGCTAATTTCAAAAACAATGCTCCTAATTTCAACAACACTGCTCTGGTTTTGGCTCACAAAATCCCTCAGGCAGAGATCAGGGAGTAGTCAAAGTCAAAGCAATCTGTCATTGAAAAACCAACGTTGCCTTTAGAAATGCTAAAGACAAAACTGGCAGCCGTCAGACAAAGTCCTAACAACTTTAGTTAACAAAGGAAGTGGAAAATCTTAGGATGAGCCCAAAAGAACAAAAACTTCCAAGTTTCAGAGAAGCCAGCCAAGTGGCTTCAGACGCAGTCTTTAATCTGGCCACATGCTCTAACCTACTACCATTTTTTGAGTACAACTGCTTCACAATTTCCACAAAAATCAAACCTCTTAGCAAGTGACTACACATACACACAGAATTTTCACAATTCCCAAGTCATTTTTTTTCAACAGCAAATCTACATTGGAAAAAAAACTAGAGAAATAAAAAACCCCATTTGCACTTATGGTAGCCAGTGCCATAGGGAAGCCAAAGCCAATTTTCCCCATGGGGCGAACTAACCGTGGATAGCTCCAATCCTACCATGTTGGGCGCCAAATCTATTAACAGGACAGGGAGAGAGGGGTACCACTGAACCCAAACCTGCCTGCTCTAAATAGGTTCTGCCATCTGCCGCATCAAGACAAGACATACGAGCTTTAATGGAAAGGAACTTTAATGCAGTGAATGTGCAATACAGAAAAGACAAAGAATATAGTTTCTAAATCAAACACCCAAAGTTAACCTGTCCCCTCGTAGGTAAAAATCCACCCAAAAAGGATTTGCCCAAAGTAAGGCGTGAAAGCCCTCCACAAGTCTAAAGTATCTTTTGGCCAGGACCCATAGAAAAGGGTCAGAAATGGCCAGACTAGTCTGGGAGGAAAAGAACAAAATCAAAATCAAGATAAATGCTGCCATGGTGAAACTACCCCCGGGTCTCTCACCCACATCTGTTTCAACCAGTTCAGGACCAAGAAGCAAACTCAGTTTCTTTACATGTTTCTCTGCTCCCTGTGCCTCCCTTAGGTCTTCTGGCTCTCCATCCTGCTTCCTTCTCCGACTCCTCTCCAGGTTCCTCCCTCCTCTGCTTAGCTCCACCCTCCTTCTGGGTGGAGCAGGGAACCTGGAACCTCCCCTTTTCCTGAGTCCACCCTGTTGCATAATTACTCAATTAAAACTTGAAAGCTTTGTGATACTGTGTTGAGGAAAATACCAATGTGTATATAGTGTATGATTATGCAAGGGAAAGGGGAGGAGGGATTAAGTACACCAACATATGATAGATTCCTTTCTTCTCTGCTCAGCTCCACCCTCCCTCCTGGGTGGGGCAGGGAACCTGGAACCTCCCCTTTTCTACAGTGGGTCATTCTATCCCTCTGCCCTCTGGATGTTCTGTTTTTGTTCATTCATTCATTTATACATACAAGAACTGGGGTATAGGACAGAGGTGTAGAGGGTGATGATTCACCAGAGACAGAGGGGAGAGCAGAACAGATGGATCTACTGAAATACACTGCTGAGGAGAGCAACGGGCGAGATAGGAGAGGCCTGCTTCCCCATGTGGGTCAGCTCCCTGGCCTGGCATCGACTCATATTGCAGTGGCTGGCAGTAGCTTATTAGTGCTGTGTCTTTAACCCCTGTGCCACAAAGGAGGAGCCCATGTTCTGTTACATTTATTAATAAACTTAAAGCTGAAACCATAGCAGTTTCATTCCTTTTGGTCATTCTAATTTGATTACCATAAAAACTCATACTGGTAATGCTTATCTCTCGTGTTAACTTGATTCTGTGCTACTGGAAGGTATATCATTGAGATTTCCTTCCTACATGTGACTTGTAAGGCATTTTTTCTCCTTTGTTGATAGTGAGTATATTTTTAGAAGTTTTTTATGTCTTTTCTTTCAGGCAAGAGCAGCTAAACTTTCTGAGTGTAGCCAGGCTGCTGAGGAGGAGGAAGATCAAGAAACACCTTCCAGAAATCTGCGGGTCAGAGCAGATCGAAATGTGAAAACAGAGGAGGAGGAAGAAGAGGAGGAAGAGGAAGATGAGGAAGATGAGGAGGTAGAAGATGAGGGACAAAAATCTAAAGATTCATCAGTCCTGAAACAGTTTAAGGAAGAAGAGGGGGAAGAGCTTCCCATAGCAAAACCAGAGGAAGTGATGGATGAGAAACCCAAAACCATACGACCCCAGGAACAGGAGGGGTTAGAGAGAGGGGGGAGAGTTACACGGTCCCAAGAAGAAGCAAGAAGAAGTTACCTGGCTAGACATCAGCAGGAGAAAGAGATAAAAACAGTTTCTCCCTTTGAGGAAGAAGAAAGAGAAATAAAATCTTCAAAAGGCTTGGAGGAAAAATCGAAGTCCCCTTCCCCTCCTAGATTAACTGAAGATCTAGAGAAGGCCCCTCTTGTGCTACAACCAGGGCAGACTGCCAGTGAGGAGGAGACTCTTCCGCCTTTACTTACCAAGGAGGCATCTTCTCCACCACGTAATACACAACTCCAGAGTGAAGAAGAAATAGAACCCATGGAAGGCCCAGCCCCCCCCGTCCTCATTCAGTTATCTCCTCCTAATACAGATGCTGAGACCAAGGAGCTAGTAATACCTCAGCATACTGTCCATTTGGTGGGAGACCTGTCTCCTTTGTCAACTCCTGCAGACGCCAAAGCAGAATCTCCAGCAGAGAAAGTGCCAGAGGAGAGTCCCCTGCCACTAATTCAGAAGAGCACACTAGCTGAATCAACCCAGAAGGGTCTTGAAACTGAATCAGAAAAATCTGCTCAACCACTCCCTCTAAAAATTGAGGAATTAGCACCGGCCAAAGGGATCAGTGAGGAATCTCTGAAACTGCCATCTTTGGAACAGAAGGAAGGCAGAGGGGTTTCTCATACTCATCTCGCAAGCCACCAGTTGAAACAGTTGGCCGACTCATCCTCTAGCCGGTCCTCGTCATCTTCCTCCTCCAGTTCTAGATCAAGATCTCGCTCTCCTGACAGCTCAGGCTCTCAGTCTCACTCACCTCCAAGATCCAAGCAGAGAGATGTATCCCAGCCACACACTCACACCAACCCCCGCAGTAGATCCAAGATGGGCTCCAGATCAACATCGGAGTCCAGGTCACGTTCTCGTTCTCGTTCTCGTTCAGCATCAAGCAACAGCAGAAAAGTAAGTGGGAGAAACCTGGTTGCATAGATGTTTTCTCTGCATGCCAGTGTTTTTCAATCCCAAGAGAACCGGTCATGATTTTTGTCAGGAATAGGCCTTTAGCCTCCAGTTCATTTGGTTACCTCCCTCTATTTTCAGAATCTATAATTTTCAATTAACTGATCTCAAAGTAGGGTCCTTTTTAATTTTGAGGTCCCTTGACTCCAAAGAATGTTGAATCCATTTCCCAATCTCCTTCAGTAGATTATTAATTTCTTGAAGGTGTGGATAATGCCTTTTTACATGTATACCCTAATATCCAACTTCTAGCTGGGATGTAATAATATTGAATAATCTAGAAAATCAGCAAAGTCACTGACTCAAACAGAAACATACAAAAATCCAAAAGTATTAAATTGGGTCAGTGGAAGTTCAAAAACTCAGGATTTGCAGACTGTGTACCATGCGTAAGTAACTTGCCTTACTATGTTTCATTTCTTCAGTCTCTGAGCCCTGGAGTCTCCAGGGACAGCAGCACCAGCTACACTGAAACCAAAGATCCCTCTTCTGGTCAGGAGGTTACAGCTCCACCAGTGCCACATCTGCAGGTCCTTGAGCCAAAGGAGAGGACTTCCATGGCCTCCTCTGTCCGAGTGAGACGTATGAGCCAGCCTGAGCCAACCGAAAAGCATGTGACCCAGAGGTTACAACCTGAGCGGGTAGGCTGTCATGCTCCTACCCTAGAAGGAGATGGAGAATTAGCCACGCGTTTCCCTTTTGTCCCAATTAGAAAACAAAAATTAGCCTGCACACGTTTTAGTTGAATGTAGAAGGTTGGGGATACTGTTAGATTCCAATGAACTCATTTTCAACTCCCTGGCTCATGAAAGCTGTACACGACACCTGAGCAACAGGGTCCTCCGCTGTGTGACTCTCAGGATCACTTCATCCTCAGACATCTCTTTCTCTGCCCAAAATGAAGCCTTTTTTCTGTTGCTTCAGAAACCCAATAAAGGGGCCTTTTTGGTCGCCTAGGGATTAAGTCTCAGCATTGTTACGTCTGTGGCCTGAGTTCAGTCTCTGGCCACAGAGTTAACACACATGGCACAGCAGAACTCTCCCTGCCCCCACTGCTCCCCTCAGCTGTATTTCAGTAAATCCGCCTGTTCTGCGCTCCACTTTGTCTCTGGTGAATCCTTTCACACACACATCTAGCCAACACCCCTGTTCTTCTACACGAAAATAATATATTTTAAATTCAGTAAAATAACTGCTGGCATAGAAAGCAATTCTTTAAGTAATATTCCGTTCCACTTTCTAAATTGAAATAAAATACGTAGATTTCATATGGAGGAGGCATATCCTGTTCTGCCTTTTACCAGCCTCAGGTTAAAGAAAGGAACAAAGTAGTTTTAAATACTTTGCTATGTTTCTTTTGCTATGTTTGTCCTTAATAGGAGAGTCCAAAGAAGTGTGAAGCTGAAGAGGCAGAACCACCAGCTGCCACACAGCCCCAAACCTCAGAGACTCAGACCTCTCACCTACCAGAATCAGAAAGGACTCTTCACACTGTGTAAGTGATATATCTTAACATGGGTATAACAAGGAACTGGGAGTGTGGGTTAGTTCTTTTCTCCCTATTGTTTTTTGACTAAACAGTCCAAAAACATAAATGCAGGGCTTTTTCTGGACAGAGACTAGACTTCAGTAACTATGTTGTACTTGCCACCAAAACTCATAGGGTAGTCTGAAAATTGGTGGTGAGAGCATAAAGCAACCCATATCTGGGATCAGCTTACCAAATTAGTCAATACCTTTTAAGAGCAGGTGGCAGAAGTTACTGTATCCAAACTCAAGACTGTGTCATGGAATCGACTCCAGAAAGGTGTTGTAGCTTAGTCTTTCACTCACAGCTACCAGCCGTATGTGAGTCTGGGAACATTTAGTAAAGGATATTGAGGGTCTATAAGAAAGACACAGGAGGATGCAATTTTTCTGCATTTTCCCTAGTTATTAACTATCATTTTATCAAGCACAATACAGGAAAATATGAAGTCTGCATTAAGTCAAGTTTACTCCTGTACCCCTGAGGCCCTTGAACTAACCATTTATACAGTTGTTTTTTACTCCTATATTTAGTCCTAGATACTAGGTAAAGATACTCTGACATAAAATTGCATTTATACTTGTATGTCATTTGTTATTCTGAGCTAGGTATTATAAATTAAGCCATTGAAACAAAATTCTTGATTTCAAAATCTCATGGGAAATGAAAAAGAAAAGAATTGTGGAACTACGATTGCTTAGCTTTCAGACCTCAGGAAACCTGTACTGCTTTAATGAATGTCTTAAGTAGGCAATTGACCTGAAATTGTTCTAAGAATGCTTTTATACCATTTAACAAACTCACAGTATAACTTCCCCCTTTATATAATTTTAGATTCTAAATTCTTGTGAGGCTGTATTTTGCCTCTGATTTTTTAGAGGAGGTGAACAGTTGACATTACTTCATGGCTTTAATAATAGTTTTGTGCTTCTTACTGTATAGCTTTTGTTTTGGAATATACCTCACTTCTGTCCATTCTAATATTCTTGCCTCCACTGCCATCTTGTGACCATTACATTTTTGGCTTGAAAGCCAAAAAATATTCACTCCTTTGAAATATTTTTGATTTTCTCTTTTAAGAAAGGGTTTTTCCTTCAAGTGCTATAAAGTGAAAACAGCAGATTCTGGAAGGCGTTCAGGACTCCTTAGCTACAGCATCTCGGAAAAGGGGTGACACCTTCCCTTCCCTTCCCTATCTCTCAACCAGACACAATATCTATCCTCCCTCTCCTAGCCTATCGGGGGAAGGGGGTGTACAGCATGTCCTTTGTATACTGGCTGTTTTGAAGTAGGTATTGATAATCTGCTATTAATTGAGACTGAGAAACTGCCTCCTGTGCACTGTGAGAAGCAAGTAATTTTCTGAAACGCTTGCTTGCCCTGAAATTCTGTGGGTCTGTGAGATTCTAGCTACAGAACTTTGTTATTTTGAAGCATCTTTACTTGAACTTTTGCATATAAGGCCGATAAAACTTGGTCACATACAAGACTTTTCTTCCCAGGTAAAGGTGGCTGACTTTGATCTTCATTTTATAGTAACCTCGTCAAATTGATTCTGGCAGTATGACAGGCCAGTGGTACTTTAGCAAATAACTAAGACTGTCCATTGTTGCCTAGGCAAGCTATAGTAGAGCAGGCTATAGATTAGAATATGCTGTAGAATGTAGACTGTTCGGAGCTAGGTATTATAAATTAAGCCATTGAAACAAAATTCTTGATTTCAAAATCTCACGGGAAATGAAAAAGAAAAGTATTGTGGAACTAGGGTTGCTTAGCTCAGACCTCAGGAAATCTGTACTGTTTGGTGAATGTCTTATATGGGCATTCTGTAGATTAGAAATGTAACCTGAACTCAGGAATAGCTCACACACATCCCTCTTACATGGCTTTCTTCGGCCTGTCTTCCAGATGGGACTGTTCAGCAGTCTTAACAGAGACAAGGCCAAAGGCCTAAATCCATAAGCTGTTTTGGTATTGGATTTGATAAATGAATCTTTGAAAAGTTTGCCTCATTTCTGGAGCACCTACTACAACTGATTCACAACTGTTCTCCTGACCTTTGACCTTTCAGTAGCCATAGTCTTCAAACTGGTAGTCTGTGGAGTCCAGGCCAATTTTAAAAGTGGGGTCAGCAGTTCTAAATGGAAAAGTCCATTTGTGACTTCACCTGTATGTCTCATTAAGTCACATGAGAGGTAGGGCCTATTGATTCAATATAGTTAGTGTCTTCAGAGATCTCTCACAACTTAGAAGACATGCCTGACTTTTTTGCTGTGCTTGGTTAAATCTGTTCTGATTCTAATTGTGCCCTGAGGAGCTCTAGATTTTATGAGGTGAGGTATCTTTTTCACTGAAGTAAGAACTTTTGAGCCCTTAATCCTGTTTCAGTTGAACTATGTTTCAGAATTCAATCTTCTGCTTGCTGTGGTTATAACAAAAATGTCCCCATACAACAGAAAGTTAATGGTGCTCTTTTTACATTAAAAGAAGTGGGGGGGGGGGTACGCCGAGGGCGGGGCCTGCTCTGACTACATCATCTGGCAATAGTTAATTCAAACATGAATTTTTAAAAACACAGCCTTCCTGCATATACAAACCTTTTAGGTAGTAACAATTTCAGAATCCGGGTTACTTGTCCTTTTACCTGATTAGGAGGAAGGAAATGGTCCTTTAAGCCAATATGAACAGTGTAATTGATACTCGCCGAGGGACTTGCAGTGCCAAAGTGCTGCATGATTTTATAAAACAGATTTTGTTGTCATTAGTAGATTGTTCACTGAGAAGTTGGTATCATAACACTTGAAATCATACTATCTTTGGCTATCTTGGAATTAATATGCTGCTGAGGTGATTCTGTACTTTAATCTTATAGCTGGGGGTAGTCAGATCCCACTGGTTCATACTAAATTTCACATCAGGTCCTTAGCTCCTCATGAATTTTCTGTAACTAAAATTCAAACATGTGCTTATAGAAATTTGCTTTTCCATTTGTTTCTCTGAGGCTCATTCATATTTAGATGTGAATTATAATTTGTTATTATTAGGTTCCAAGTGGTTTTATCCTCTTCTGTGCTAAAAATGTGCCTGTGTGTTATTTAATTATGGATAGATATCCCCCAGCCTTCATGCAGCTTCACATCTTTGTCAGAACTATCAGAAACATTTGTGCAAGAAAAATAAACGGTAAGGGATATATGCCTTTTGTCTAAAAGGAACTATGTAGAAAAACTGTGTGGGGCTGTGACACATAGTTCCTTGAGCTTTGGGAGGGTTCTGCAAATAGATTGAGTCCCCTGTGGGGGCAATTTAAAGAATTCCTCTTTTTTTCCCATGAAAATGAAAATTAAAGTCTTGGGAATTCATGGATCCCACTGAATTGATTGTAGGAATATAAAAGGCACAAACCTACCGTATCTTATAAAGGCTGAGGATAATATAGTACAATACTTGAAGAAGAAAAAAATTCCAACAGAAAATTCTCCCTCTAAGGAGGCTACTTCTGGGGCGGCACATTAGCAGCTGGAAGTATTTTAGGATTATTGAGGGGCAGAGAACATTTACATAAGGACATTTGGCAGTAATACTCTCTGTGGGCTAACATTCTCTGGGGATTCTAATCCAAAAAAAAGTTTAAAGAAAACTTTTAATTCAGCAAGCATTTATCAAAGTGTCCAGTTGGTACCTACACTGACAACCTAATTCAGAAATCTTTACTGAGCTTTATGTTAGACCCTGGGCTAGGGGCCAAGGAATGGATTCCCTGACCTTGAGGACCTCTGCTGGGTGGGGTTGAGAGGCAAGTAAACCAGCAGTTATTATACAGTGATGAGGGCATCATCGAAAACATGTCAAGCCAAGAGGGATTACTGAATGCTTCTGAATCAGAGAAAGAAAGAGCAGTCTACTCTTTGAGGAAACTCAGAACAAGCTCCAGGTGGCTTCAAATAAGGTAATGACTTACTGAACTACACATGTGTTTGCATCTCCTTACCTTTACCTGGGGTGTGGTCCAAACTAGATTCTTAAGAGCAAACCCTTACCACATTTTCATGACATCAGTTATGTTATTGTCCCCACTTTACAAATTAAACAGATAACACTTAGGATCAGGAACTTGTCCAGTATCACACAGCTTGTATGGCACCAGTACCAGGGCCAGTGCCTGGATTGGGCCCTAACTAATTAGACTGCAGAGTGCTCAACCTTACAGAGCAGATAGGTACCACTAAGTGAACGGGAACACATGGAGTAAGGTATAAACAGGATGGCATTGCCATGCATTTGGCTTGTGAGTTTTAAGATTTTTAAGCAAGCAAAAAGGAAATTTTACTCCCGATTAAAGGTTCTGGGTTATAAATAAGTTAATTATGAGTTTGGTTTAAGTACTCGAAGCTTGTCCTAGTGTTTAACCTCGACTGCCACTAGGGACACAAAAGGAACACCTTTGCAGTCAACAAATGAGCATTTACTGAATGCTGTTTTGAGTTAGTTGCTTTCCCATTTCACATTTAGTTTGATCCAAAGGCCTGTGATTCATAATTATCACTTAGTTCCCTATCACGTTCTGCCCAGCAGATCTCACCTGCCCTGTGGATCAGCTCTCACTTTAGTGTCTTTCCCTGCATTATGGCCTCCCCTTGGAGCCCTTACTCCAAGAGGTGGCCTTCGTGCTTCAGGTGCCCAAAGCCCCTTTACCCTGTTTATCTTTTCCTTTCTGACTCCGGTGGACCCTGGAGCAGGGTGACCTTATTAAAGACTCTATGAAACAAAGTTGTCTGTCATCTCTTCTGAGACACCACACCCTTCCCCCACTCCTTATCCCCCTCTGTTGGTAATTCCAAAAGCTCTGTTTATGCACTCTCTCAGCCATCCCTGGAGAAAGGACAGGTTGGAATAGTAACACGTGGTCACTGCTCAGGGTGAACTGCAGTTACTATAGTGATTGGACAGTGCCAGTTCTCATCCCACCTCCCCTCCTTCAAGAAAGTGACTGATCTGGTTTCAATATTCCACTCCTGGCTTTAATAGAGAGAGGTGGGCACATAAAAAAATGCTCGTGCTTTCTTTCTGTTTTTCATTTGATTTTGGCTTTATCTTCCTCCTTTAATCATTTTTCACTCCTGTGCTATTTCCCTTCCTTGTATTCTCTGGAATCTTCCAAGCAAGCAGCTGTAACTTTGTATGTCCTCTCCACCCAACCCCCGCTCCCGCCCCCTGAGAAGTCTAGGAGAGCGCACCCTCTCCCTCTGGGGTTAGGCCTCTCTGTAGCTGTTGTAACCTGAGAAAAGACGGAAAAAGACTAGGCCTACTGAGCCAACAGTGAGCTCCCTGTGGCCTGCCAGAGGATAAGAACCTTGCTCACTCAGCGCCCTCCCTCTTTTCTTTCCCCTCCCCTGCTGCAGCAGGGCCCTCCCCCATCCGCACACACGGGCTGCTGGGTAAGTGGCAAGATGGCTCCCCTGCATGTCTCCGGCTGATCGCCGCCGCTCCGCCAATACAATAGAGCCAGCCACTACCAGCAGCCTGGCCCTCTACCTCCTCCTCCTCCAGAGAGACCAATCCAGCCGAACTCGGGGTTTGCCGTGAGGACTTAACGTTTATCTCTTAAAAGCCTGATCTATTTTAGCCTCCCCTCACCACCACCACCTCCCCTTCCATTTACCATTTTTTGGATCCCCAGTAGCTGCATCTCAATTTTCTCTCTGGATCGGGTGGCCGGGGAGGAAGTGGTGGGCTTTCGGGACAAGGAAGGGTGTGTGTTTTAATTTTTTTAGGATTTTTTGTTTGGTTTTTGTTATTTCTTCCATTCCAGAAAGGGATAAACAGCACTTCCAGGGGGAGAAAAAAAATCATGTTATCAGAAAGCAAAGAAGGGTGAGAGCTTCACATTTCCATGTATCCTTTTTCCCTACCGCCCTAGCCCACCTCATCTTCCTTCTTTTCCCTATGGCTTTCATTCTGTCTATCGTTTTGGTTTGTTTTCAGTCATTCTGCTTTCCCCTTTGTCCTTCCTTTCCGATTTCTAATTGGCTCCACTTGCCCTTTCTGTTTGGGAAATAGGTATTTTTTGGATAAGCCTTTCTTTTGATTGAGGCATTTGAACAGCGAGTTTCTGTGGGGGCCTGTTAGCTGGGGGCACAGTTCCGATTTCCCCTCCCCCTTTCCGTGCATCCCTCCCTGCCTGCTTGCTCTGGGGAAGCTTTTCTGACCTCTGAGTGTCAGTCAGCCCCTCGGGAATGCTGATTTTTCTGGTGTGGTTATCAGCCTGGGAGGCTTGGTTCCCCTCATCTGAGACTTAGGCCCCTGATCATCTTGATTTGATTCTCTTCTCTCCACCCCCTCCATCTCCGGCCCCCAAGTGTTTGGGTGGTAGTGGGGGAGGTGAGATTGGAGGTAGAATTTAGGGATGACGGCAGAAAAGAAAATGGGAAGCTCCTTTATGTAAAGGGAATCTCTGGGATTCATTGCCTGAAATGGGAGTTAACTTGTGTGATGGGGGGGTGTGATATGGGTTCAGTGTTTGTGGGGGAAGATGCATGGTGTGGGGGAGGGTTGTCCTGACTTGGAGGCCTGTTCTCTCTCTCTCTCTTGGAAGTTGGAATAAGGGGAGTGGGAGAAACTGGGCATAAGCTGAATGTTAAGAACAGTTCCTACACCTCTGAGCAGGTAAAGGTGGCCTGATTCTTCTGTGAGCGTTCATACTCTCCCTGGCAGCTGTATTCTTTCTTTTTGGATGAGAAAGGGTCCTTTTTGAAGCTCTAAACCTTAATCAGGCCTAGTTTCCCTGCACCACTTTCCTCCCAGCCCCAACCATTTCTCCTTTCTTGGCGTCTTCAGATGCTGTGGGTCAGCAGCCTTTTTCACTTATTAGGCAATTGATTAAATACAAGGTTGGGGTCATTTGCCACAACTCTGACCATTCTTTCTCATCTTTTTAAGGAATCTCGCTTCCCTCAGTTCCTCATGCAATGTAGTTAAATAGAGGTGCCTGTGGTCAGAGGATGGGAAAGCCTATTCCCTGGGGTGTTTTCCCTTCACAGAAGAGTACTCTGGTGAATTACCTAAGACTCATTGGAGTGTGACCCCCAACCTCAGCTTTTTTCCATCTGGGTAGTAGGTGGCTATGGTTACCGTCATCTATGCGCTTTCCCCAAGAAAAAGTCTTCCACTTTTAACTGTGGGGGGGGCAAGGTTACCAGTATTACATGAAAAGCATTCCTCCCAATTGGACCCAAGTGATGAGGCATGGGGGTTTTCTGACTCAAAATCTAACGTCTTGCTCTCTCTTCCCCTTGGTTCTTTCCTGCCCTTCCCTCCCAACCTCTCCCTATACTATCAGTGAGGAGAAGGAGGAAGTGACCATGGACACAAGTGAAAACAGACCTGAAAATGAGGTTCCAGAGCCCCCCATGCCTATTACAGACCAAGTCAGCAATGATGACCGCCCAGAAGGCAGTGCTGAAGATGAGGAGAAGAAAGAGGTAAATATCCAATCCGCCTGTTGGGGTGGGTGGGCCTGAGTGGACCTAGGGGACAGAGCAGACCACTCTGGTGGTCCCTGTTACTACACAGGGGGATAACTTTAAGAAGGGGTTAGGCAGAGACACTTGGATCTGGCTCAGGCCAAGGGAGAATTCGCTGGTTTAGCAAGGGAGACCCCTTGTGATGGGGACAGGGCTCATTTGTTCCCCTTTCCTTGTTGGGGGAATGTGCAGTCCAGACTACTGGCTGTGACTAACACAAGTCAGTTAAAGGCCTTTATTAAGCTAAGACCCAGCCTTAGCTTTCCCTCTTCTGGAGCTTCTCCCCTGTAACTCCTTTAGCTTTCCCTCCTTTTTAAGAGCCTCATGGTGCTCAGCGCCATCTAGAGGGCTTTAGTGGTTTTTAGATAACTAGCCATGCTGAGGAATTTTTGTTCCTCTTCTGCCCCCCAGTGGTCTTACTGCAGAGATGTAGTTACTTAGAAGCCGGGGCTGGGTAATCCCACAGGCCCTTTCTCTATTCCTGTGATTTCTATTCCCTAAACCTCCTTTTTTGGCATATATGTTACCTTGTGTCCTGTACCCAATTCAGGGGGCTCCCCCCATCAGAGCCAGCGAAGTCTTCTTGGCTCTTAAAGGTTGAGTTAGCTGGGTTTGGGAGTGGGATAACAGATTGGGGAGGGACTGTTGTGTGTGTAGCCTTTCTTTGGTGTGTGTTGCGGGGGTGGGGGCCGGTGAAAGTGATTTGATGTGCAGAATATTATTTATTACAAGGTCCTTCTTCCCCGTAAAACTTTGTCCAAGTACCTCATGTACGGTAATCCGCCCGTAAAATATAACCCTGCCCAACTGGCCAATCGCTGATGCCGCCTCTTCCTCTGGACCCACCCGCTGCTACTGAGCTGCCCAATCAGAGCCGAGTCTGCTATCCAGGTGTCTTGGCCAGAGGGGGGCATGTATATGGGATCCTGTGATGGGCCCCCCTTTGCCTCCCTGCATTGCTTACATCAGGGGGGCCGAGAAGAGCACTGTTCTGGAGAGACTTGTATTGAAAAAGCAAAAACCTTTGGAAAGGGGTGGACTTGCATCATCTCCCTATTTGGGACACCCCAAGAAGAGCTTGTGTCAGTGCTGGGGCGCCTGCCCACATACCCTTGCCCTTTTGAGGACTGTGGGTTGCGTTGTTTGCTGCAGACTGTTGGGATTCCCCATCTAGGGCACCAAGACGTAAAGAGTCAATGTTTGCGATCACATGCCATGCTGTAAAATACCGAGTGGGGTCCTCGGCTTAAGCTGTGACAACTAGGAACCTGCAGAGAAGTCTAGGGTCTGAGCCCAGGGACTTAATGCTGATGACAGCCCAGCCGTGTATCACCACTTGCTCATCAGATGGACTTTCCTTTGGTCCCTGTTGTCCATGGTGAAGGGCAGCATGTTGGTTGCTCCAACTTCTCCTCCATCCCTGGAGGCAGGGGCTCATCTATCCACCTGACTGGAACCACTGTCTCAGCTGGAGTCCCTGAAGAGATGCCACACACAACTCTCAGAAGAAAAGTTTTCTGACCTTGCTGCTGAATGTGCCAGGTCCTGGGGCTCTCCACCTACTACCCCCAGGCCGCCTTCATCAGAGTCTTCATGATCCCACTCGGTGAGAGGACCCCCTCCCCAGAACAGGCAGAGGAGAAAGGGACTCTGGAGTCATCACCTGGATTCCAAGTATTGGGTGGTGGTATTGCTGCAGCTTGCCACTGGTGGACTTAGGGTCCTGTCTGCCTCTCACGATAAAAGGCCAGGACCATTCCTGCTACTCACAGGCCATCTCATCAGGGACTGCAAGATGATGCCCCTACAGGGCTGGGACTGATGTCTCTGCCCCTTTTCCCCCCTGTACCCCTCGCTGAGCCTGGCCACCGCCAGTGAACTGTCTTGACATCATGGAAACTGGGCAGCGTCCCCCCACACGTTTCCCTCCCGCCCCCCCTGCGCCCCTGGGAGGACTCTGGCAGTGCCGTGCTGACCACCACGCCGTGCGCCCACCTTTTTTGCCAACCCAACCCCCCACCAATTGCACAGCGCCTAGCAGGGAGGGCTCATTCTGATTGGACCGGCGGTTGACTAGATACAGTACACAGTGAGGTGCGATTGGCTGAACTGAAGATCCCAGGTGTGAGATGGTACCTGGAACATTTGTCATATTCCTAGTTTATTTTCTTCTTTATTTTCTTCTTCTTTATTTTTTAATCTTTTATTTTAATTTTTTTTCTTTATCTTTTTCTGATTTCTTTATTGGATTTATTTATTTGGTTCATGTTTTCCTGTTTTAATTAAGACTTTTTTTTTCTCACTAACTTACCCATCAAGAGCAGCCCTGTTAGAGGTCAGGCTGGCCCTTAACAAGACCAAGGAGACTTGGTTAGACGACATACAGGGCTGGTGGGGGGTGGGGGGTGGTGGGAAGGAGGGATTTCATCCAGAGGGTCCTGCCCTACCCTTAGAAGGGTAGTAGGTCTTAGTTTTTCCAGAAATAAGCACTTAAACTTAAAATGCTTTGTTCCACTTTTCTCCCTTCCTCCCTCTTTTTGCTCTGTCCATAGTTGTCTCCCACTGAGTATTTGGGGCAGAAGTTTGCTCCAAAGCAAGTTTGTAAGTATCTGGTCCTTGGCAGAGCCTCTAAGGCTTAAGCCCTGGTTGAAGAGGAAAAAGTAAGGCTTGTTAAAGATCTGTCTGTACATGGTTGGAAAGTCTTGAGACTCTCCCTGGGAGCAACATGCCTTTAACCAAAGACGCCTTTAAGTCCTTTGTGCCAGCCCTTAGCTCAGGAGCTTCATTTCCAGTGGATCTGGTTGCTGCCCTTCCCCACAGCGTGATAGGGATTTGAGCCGTCTTGACTGTCCAAGCTGTCAGAGCAGCTCAAAACCATTGTCATTAGCCACCAAGCTGGACATTGAGAAGAGGAAAAGTATTACTTTGTTAAGGTTGCCATCCCAAAGTTGGTTTTCCCTGCTACCTTGGGTTTTCCTCAGGTTAGCAAGGAAGACCTAGGAGGCCTACGCGACCCCGTTCTGGGCCTGATTTTGTTGCCGTGGCCTCCTCCCAACCCAGAGACAGTGGGAGAGGGCATCACAACACTTCTAAAGGGCTGGGAGGCCTCTGAATTCCTCTTCTGGCTTATTTCTGGTTAAGCTAATACACAGGTGTGGTATGGACTAGATGACTTTTCCCTGCTGTGATGTTTGGTTTTATTTTTTTCTCTAACTTGCATTGATTCTGCTTCGTTTTTGCCGTTTACTGCTTCTGTTTTGGTCTGTCTGTCTCTGTGTCTCTTCTCTCTCTTTTTCTGTCTTTGGAGTCTATGCTAAGACTGCCCCATCTAACCTCCTCCCCCCCTCTCTGTGGGGTGTGTCTCTTTCTCTTTTCCCCCCCTTTTCTTCTCTATACAGAGCTCGATGCCCAAATCATTCAAGAGGAAGATCTCCGTTGTCTGTAAGTCTAGCCCCATATCCCTGGTAAAGGTCAGAAATACCATAAATATCAGAGTTAATGGAGAAGTAAAGTTCCATTCTCTCAGTGGTGTTTTTGAATCATCCCTGTCACCCAAACAAATCTATCTTCTTGATATCTATAGGGTTTCATTTTGAAATTCAAAACTTTAGATTATCCCCGTCATCTTTCCCTAGTCACATTTTTTCTAAGCAATACATTGTGTGAGGTGTCTCATACCACTTTCTGTGTGATCCTACATGGATTTATTCTTCAGAGATTGGAACCCTCAGAACCATGGGTGGGTTTATGAGACTCCTTACCTTTTAAAGTGTTAAGGAAATAAATGAGAGTGCCCCAGCCCACAAACAGCAACATTTGTAACATTTCCCCATTGTTAAACTTCATAAAAGTATAGTAGACCTTTATCATTTCATTATCAATCTGATGTGAAAGTTAACTAAAAGTAACCAGACCACATCACCTTAAATTAACTTTAAACTCAGATTATTAGCATCACAGTCTCCCATCAGGAAGTGGCTCCAGTAATTTATTTTTCACTCTGAAGCCATGGTCTCCCTAGTGCCCAATAGTTTTAAGTTTGCCTTTCACTTAATTCCATTTGAAGGTTATCTCTGTGGATGTTGTGGTATGAACCAGCAGAGGTCTGAGACCATCTAACTCTTGGGTTCTGTTTCTTGGGGACAGCAGCTTCCAAGGGGGTGCCAGCTGGAAACAGTGACACCGAGGGCGGCCAACCTGGTCGGAAACGGCGTTGGGGAGCCAGCACAGCCACCACGCAGAAGAAACCTTCCATCAGTATCACCACTGAATCACTCAAGGTGAGGTGGGAGTTGCTGGGGAAGGGAGGACGAGACACATTGAGGCAGGAGTAGACATGGGCCCAGTGTAACGGGGTGGGGGGTATCTGTGTCCCAGAGCCTCATCCCCGACATCAAACCCCTGGCGGGGCAGGAGGCCGTTGTGGATCTTCATGCTGATGACTCCCGAATCTCTGAGGATGAGACAGAGCGTAATGGTGACGATGGGACCCATGACAAAGGGCTGAAAATATGCCGGACTGTCACTCAGGTAAGACTCCTGCCACCCCAATGTTGAGAGATGGGGCAGTGGAAGCAGAGCAAGCAACTAAGGAGCTAAAAGTGGCATCCTCAAAGGGAAAGCTGCCATCTGGGCAGTAAGTTGCATTAATTGACTCTCCTTAGGGGTCAACAGACTATGAAATCGAGCCTGTTGCCTGTAACAAAGTTTTATTGGAACACAGTCACCACTCATTTACTCTATTTGTGGCTGCTTAAGTGCTGCAATATCAACAGTTGGATCATTACAGCAAAAAAAAAAAAAAAAATACTTACTGACTTGTCGGAGTTGATGCATTAACAGTCCCAGGATCGGGTGGCATAAACTTAATGGTGAAATCCTGCCCCCCAGTGGAAGAAACATCCTGTGTTGCCGCTTAACACCTTACCAAGAAACCAGTGGCATAAGAAGATGTACCAGTTTTTGATGTTCAGGAATCCCTCCACTATCTGATATCTTACAGGTAGTACCTGCAGAGGGCCAGGAGAACGGGCAAAGGGAAGAAGAAGAGGAGGAGAAGGAGCCTGAAGTAGAACCCCCAGTACCGCCCCAGGTTTCAGTAGAGGTGGCCTTGCCCCCTCCTGTGGAGCATGAAATAAAGAAAGGTGGGTGGTGCATGAGGAGTGACCCTGCATGCAGCTGCCTGAACACCCTTCCAGAGCATCTAGAAATGCTTAATGCGTTCAGTGTTTCTTGTGTCTTTCTTACCCCCCCTTCCTTCCTACTTAAGTTCCTTTAAATGTTGGGTTCTCATCTGTGTAATTTTTGAGTCTCCATAATGAAGAGCTCAGCCTAGGCAATGCCTTGCACTCTAGATGGAAGAGTGACTGCTGGGTGGGGAGTACAGTTATTAGAGGTGAAAGAGCCCACCACAGAGCAGTGTTCCCTACTGAACAAAACACCTGGGTGCTTTATCTGCCACAGTGACTTTAGGAGATACCTTAACCAGACGATCCATTAGCCAGCAGAAGTCTGGAGTTTCCATCACAATTGATGACCCAGTCCGAACTGCTCAGGTGCCCTCCCCACCCCGGGGCAAGATCAGTAACATCGTCCACATCTCCAATTTGGTAAGTCATTGCTGCCACTGTCTGCTCTCATTTGTTTGAGTTTGGTCTCAAGCTTCTGAGGGTAAACACTAAGATCTGCTAGCAACTCCCTCATTGACTCAGGAGCAAGTATCTTAACCTCACAGCATTTTTCAGCTGGAGAGTGAGTTGCATTAATTGGCTTTTTTAGACTATGAAACCATCCTGTAGCCTGTAACAAAGTTCTACTAGAGCACAGCCACCACTCATTTACTCTTTATTTGTGGCTGTTTAAGGTGCTGCATTGTCAGTGGATGAGGAAGGGGAGGAGAATATCACTGCAGGATTGTCTTGAGGGTTTGTAGATGACCTGGCACATAGTGCCTCAGCCAGTATTATCACACTTGTCACATTCCTACTAGAGGGTTCTGACCTTGGAGTATGCTCCGTGACCACAGCTTGAGAATTCTTAAGTTTTATGAGAATTATTTTTGCCTTTTTCAAGATCCTGAAACTCCTATTTTCACTGGCAGGTTCGTCCCTTCACTTTAGGCCAACTGAAGGAGTTGTTGGGACGTACAGGAACTTTGGTGGAAGAAGCCTTCTGGATTGACAAGATCAAATCTCATTGCTTTGTAACGGTGAGAAGAAGCTGCTTCTATAGGGTTAAGGCATATATTTTCTTTTGTGACCGATGTGGGAAGGTGGGAGGATGGAAGGCCCGCTGTGACCTCTGCTGCCTCCTTTCCTCCACCAGTACTCAACAGTAGAGGAAGCTGTTGCCACCCGCACAGCTCTACATGGGGTCAAATGGCCCCAGTCCAATCCCAAATTCCTTTGTGCTGATTATGCTGAGCAAGATGAGGTAAGAAACCTAGGGAAAGGAGGGGAGGGGAGGGGCAGTGAAGGCCAGTATCTGCTAAATTCCAGCTGAAATCCTGGGCAAATCTACAGTCCTTGAGAATCCTCTCCCCCTTTTCCTTCCGTGGGACTCCCAAAGTCTTTCTACCCGGGCACTTGAGCTCCTTCAGTGAGCGTGATCTCATCTCCATCCTGACTGTCCTTGTCCCTCCTCTACCCACAGCTGGATTATCACCGGGGCCTCTTGGTGGACCGTCCCTCTGAAACTAAGACAGAGGAGCAGGGGGTACCACGGCCCTTGCACCCACCACCCCCACCCCCAGCCCAGCCACCACAGCACCCCCGGGCAGAACAGCGGGAACAGGAGCGGGCGGTGCGGGAACAGTGGGCAGAGCGGGAACGGGAAATGGAACGGCGGGAGCGAACTCGATCAGAGCGTGAATGGGATCGGGACAAAGTTCGAGAAGGGCCCCGCTCCCGATCACGGTCCCGTGACCGCCGCCGCAAGGAACGTGCGAAGTCTAAAGAAAAGAAGAGTGAAAAGAAAGGTACTTAGCTGGGGGACACAAAAACCACTAGTAGGTGGGAAAGGGACCCAACTGGGATGGGACACACGGTCAGAGGCAACAAGTCTGATAACTTTTCCTACCTCAGAAAAAGCTCAGGAGGAACCACCTGCCAAGCTGCTGGATGACCTTTTCCGTAAAACCAAGGCAGCTCCCTGCATCTACTGGCTTCCCCTGACTGACAGCCAGGTGAGTAGACTCTTTGTGCACCTGAGGTTGGGCGCCAGTCAGTGAGTAGGCTCAGGAAGGTGCTTCTGTTGAAAAGGGAAGAAACTGAGCATTCCAGAAAGAGGCGGTTTTAAGGAACCACGTTGAAAGGAAGCAAGGTGGGAATTGTGTATCTCCTAGGAAGCTGGCTGTGCCAACCATTCTTAGAAATTCTAATGAACTGAGAAGCTTGTCCATGTCCCCTCTTTTTAATTTCTAAAGTTTTGAGTCTCTAGGTTTATACAAACTAAAGAGAAAGGCAATTCATTCATATCTTAGGTGGCTAGGGAAGAAGCAGAGGAAGGCTTGGGTGGTGCCACTAACCTGTCACTAGTATAAAAGTTGAAAGTTTGGAGGGACTGGGTCTTGAGTCAAGGACACATGTGGTTGCTGGCCCCTTGGCTGCTCAACAGCAAATCTGACCTTGACTTGAAACTACGCATTCAGGATCCAGGTGTAGATTGATGAAGTGGGGGCTGCTGTAAGCAAGAGGGCTGACAGGCCTGTTCCCTGCCTTTACTGCCTGCCGCAGATTGTTCAGAAGGAGGCAGAACGGGCTGAGCGGGCCAAGGAGCGAGAGAAGCGACGAAAGGAACAAGAAGAGGAGGAGCAGAAGGAGCGGGAGAAGGAAGCAGAGCGGGAACGAAACCGACAGCTGGAGCGGGAGAAGCGGAGAGAGCACAGCCGAGAGAGGGACAGGGAGCGAGAGAGGGACAGGGAGCGTGACAGGGGGGATCGAGATCGGGAGAGGGAAAGGGACCGGGAACGTGGCCGTGAGAGGGACCGTAGAGATACCAAGCGCCACAGCAGGAGCCGGAGTCGCAGCACACCTGTCCGGGACCGGGGTGGGCGCCGCTAGCTGGGAAACACTAGGGAGAGCTGCAGGCATCAGCCACCCTGCCCCAGGGGTTCACAGCCACAGAGGGATAGGTACAATCCACCGCCCTGAAACCAAGGGTCTTTCACACCATTTGCCCAGTGCTGAAGTATGGCTGCCACCTGTCCCCACATACCAAATGCAGCAGTGGCCATCTTTCCCCCAACCCTCGTAACCTATCTCTTGGGACTTGGCCCTCTCCTGTGTCTCATTTCCCATTGCTAAGTCTGAGAGGGAAGAGCTAGGTTAGGGAGGTAAGGTGGTTGGCCCAGAGGTGTGGAACAGCCTAGGAGTTCTTGCATTTTTTCCTCCCATCCTGCTCACCACCTCCCTTGGGTACTCACAGCCTCCTCTTGGGAACAGCCGGGGCCAGGACTGGGTCACCTATGAGCTGAATCAGCATCTCCTCCTGAGTCCCCGGGCCCCTGCAGTTCCCAGTCTCTTCTATCCTGCAGTCCTTGCCTCTTGGCCACCGGTTCCACTTTATATCCACCTTTCCTTTTGTTCAATTTTTATTTTTATTTTTTTTATTATTAAATGATGTGGTCTATGGAAAATAATAAAAATCTGACTTAGTTTTAACTAGTGTGTGAGTGGATTTCCTTTAGTAGGGCCTGGGTGAGAGCTGAATCCTACTGAAGTGATGGCTATAGGATTCAGGATGGTTTCATTTAGCAGTTTGCTGCTGCCAGGGACTTAGCAACCTCCTCCAGCCGTGGCTCTAACCAGACCGCACTGTGGCTTTAACTCATTGTGGGGATAGAGGGGAACACCCCATCCCCGAACCTCCCAGGATAGGGTCCCTTTGGGGTCCCCTGTCCCGTGCAAAAGGCCACCTTCTTCAAGCTGTCTCCGCAACTGCCACCAGGGGGCGGCAGCCGCACGCTCAGGAGGCGCCGGTGAAAGAGCTTCCCCTAACGGCTCTACCCCCAGATCTATCTCCCCCCCCCACCCCATGTCATGCCTCGGGTCCCTGACCTGTACCCTGACTCCCTCTGCCGCCCTTACACGCACCCAGCCGGCCTGCCTGCCACCCTGCCTTGCGGAGGCTCCCAAAATGCCGCCTCCCTCGGGCCGCGGCCACACGAGCCCCAAAGGCTGATGTGGAAGCTGGGAGCCGAGCCTCCGCAGTGAGCTCCCAATTCCCCGCCTCACCGTGCGCTGCCCTTCGCCCTGCTGCTGGGGGTGTGCGGCCCGCTTGGCGTTCCTGGGTGTACCCCACGCCTGCTCCTCGGGACTGGCCTGACACGGTGGCCTGGAGGTCCTCCCGCCAGAGTGCCCCACCGG